AGGACCGAACCCCTGACCACCGAATCTACTAACTTCTTTACCCATGGCGCTAACAACCACACCACGACTCACAAGTTGTTTGCACGAATATATAGCTTAAAGAACTTCATTCCGGTTAATTAACAAAATCTATTTCGGCCCTTTATGTGCCCCCTAAATAGTGTATAAAAATTCCCTTTGGTACGATTGTTTGGTATTTTAAGATTGAGTTATATCACGTGAAAATTCAGTCATTAGATCGAAATCTATTCAGGGTGGTCTGTCTTTTATTTTGTACACTATACATCGAGTTCTGTGAACAAAATGTTCTTAAATTCACTTCAAAGATATGATGAAAAAAACTGTGGGTTTAGGTTTTGAATCCTCCCAGCTGTAGAGCGGGTACCAGCTTGTCAGGGAAATAAAGGCGGTAGGTGCACTAAGCTGATTTTCTTTTCACCATCACTCCTCGTTAGTCATAAATCGTGGAGTCTTAATATCGATGACCCTCTTGCTCACACTAGACTGTTGGACGAATTTTTTCTGCGTATAAATATTTTAAATAAAATTCTCTTCGCGCGAATATTTTATTGCTACACCAAAATTAGGTTTGCAATAAGGTAAAATGAACGAGGGAAGGCCACACATTTTAAAGGAACCGCAACGCATAGGACCCCTAAAGCCATATTCGAGAAGAAAAGAAAATATGTAACAAAAATATTGAAGAGTCAATTTTAAACTCCAGATTCAAATTTTATTTATTATTTTAATGAGATTGTTCGAATGAAAAGTTTCTGAAAAAGAACTATTACTTATACTTGTGTCGAGAAACCTTTCAAAGAAAGTTTTCGTATTGTACTTTCGCAGACTTTAAAAAAAGAATCCAAAATCATGGTCTTATTCTCGTTTATTTGCTTTCCTTTAAATGAGGCCCTTTGCAAAATATTTTCTTATTATTTACTAATATTTTCGCTGAAAAGGTTAATATTTGCTTTATTTCGTTTCCTTTGAAATAGGTTTTCGCTTAATATTTCTGCTAATCTAATCATGACAGCAAACAAAAATGCAAAAAATAAGGTTTACAATTTGCTTGTTTATTTAACCTAAATAACAATATTTTTAAAAAAGATTTAAAAATCATTTAGTTTTCCTTTAAGGAGGAAAGGTTGGAAATAGTAATATTTTTACGTCATTGAAAAAAGGTTTTTACCGCAAACCTTTTAGTGACAATGAAAATAAAGTTAAAACTCAAGGTTGTCGTAAGGTTACATGCTTTCTGGGAGGCATCTTTTAGTGCCTTTGTAAATCAAAATTCCTCTGCAGTTGCTGTTACGTATAAAATGGCACATATACTTGGAAAAAGAGGCAAACCATTTAGTGACATTGAAATAATTAAAGAATGCATTGTTGAAGCAGTGAGTATGTTAGATCCAAGAAATGTCAACAAATACAAACAATTAGCTCTTTCAAGAAGAACTGTAACAGATCGACAGCACGAATTAGCGCAAAATGTAACAGAGCAACTTCAAACAATTATACAAAATGAAGATGTTTATTTTTCAGTTGCTTTAGATGAAAGCACTGATAAAACAGATTCGGCACAAGTTTTATATTTTATTCGTGCTATAACTAAAGATTTTCAATGTTACGAAGAACTACTTGCGTTGGGTACACTAACTGGAAGAACTCGCGGAGCCGATATTTTCGAAAACTTCAAAGAAGTATGTAATAAATTACAATTGAATGTCAGTAATTTAGTCAGTGTCTGCACCGATGGCGCACCTTCCATGAGAGGCAAAAAAGAAGAATTCGTTGCTTTGTTAAAAAAGGAAAACTTAAACTTGAAAAAATTGATATCATTTCACTGCATTTTGCATCAGCAAAATCTACCATTTTGCAAGACACTCTGGATAGAACCATTGCCATTGTCAACTATATTCGCGTAAATGCAATGCGTCATCGTGAATTTCGGCAGATGCTCTCTTTAGATGAGGAAACGTATAGTGTTGACCTACCATACTACTGCAAGGTTCGCTGGCTATCAACAGGTCAGGTTTTGATAAAAGTTTTGTCTTTACGACGACAAATTTTAAACTTTTATCAAGAACAAGGAAAACAATGTGATCTATCAGATGAAGTATTTCTCAAAAACCTTGCATTTTTGTCTGATATGATGACAAAACAAAACAATTTAAATATTTGCCTGCCAGGTGAAACGAGGTATATTTATGAAATGTGGCAAAAGATCCAAGCTTTTAGAAAAAAATTATCATTTTTCAAAACATTGCTTTGTCGATCGGAAATATCTGCACTACACTTCCCGGAGCTAGCTAAAATGTTAAATGAGCAGAACTGTGAAAATAAAATATTCGATGAATATGTATGTGTCTTGGATTGTTTAATAGAAGAGTATACTAAAAGATTTTCTGATTTTGACGAGCACACTCCTGCTATGAAACTTGCATTTGAACCACATTTAATAGATATATCTGAGGCTCCTGCAGAACTACAAATGGAGTTAATTGATTTAGGGGAAGATAGTATCATCAAATCCCTTTTTAGCGCTAAAAAGGATCCCATAGAAATCTGGAAAAATGCTGTTGAATATCCATGCCTTCGAGAACATGCTCGCCGTTTACTTTCCTGCTTCGGAAGTACCTACTGTTGCGAGACAACATTTTCTCTCATGTCAAAAATAAAAACAAATTTAAGAACGCAAATTACAGATGCACATTTGGAGGATCAATTAAAGCTGTGTGTTACGAAACTTGATCCAAATATACAATTACTATCAAACAAAAAACAAAGCCAAATAAGTCACTAACTTAGTGAATAAAAAATATTTTTAATTGTATTTTTTTATAATATCTTTATATTATTTTATATGTATATTATATTTAAAATTTTGTAGTATTATATTTTATTTTTTCTATATAATGCAATAAATTGTTAAATCTATAGAAAAACTATAATAATTTCACAAAAGTCACTTTCTTAGGTCAATCAGCTAATGCGGCCTCTCTTATTGCTGCCTAATTTAAATGTGGCCTCTAATGGTAAAAAAGTTCCCCACCTCTGGTATAGATATTACAAGTCTAATTCAATATTTTAACTCATATATGAACAATTATAATTGAATATTTTAGCATTATATACAATATTTAAGAGCAAATTAAAAAAAGGAAAATTAACAAAACAAATTTACTTCTTCATTTCTTCCAAATAATTTAAAAATAGATTTCTTTATGTTAAACGGTGTAGCATATAACTAAATACTTTTTGTTATTGAATGTGTAGAAAGTGTGCATGCATTATAGAAAGTCTCATAAAGTGTGGACGATTGAATAGGAGCTAGGACAGTCCTCTCGTCCCCCCCCCCCTAATCTACAGCGCTGTTGAATAACCTTCCATATGGACACAAACAAAAGACTTGAACGGGAAGTAGGCGGTAAGTGTAAGAAAAAAGAACACATTCTCGTCTTTATATTTTTAATTTACTCTCATTAAATAAAAAACTAGAGATTTTTAAGAATGTAATTATCTTTCTTTTCAAGAAGGTAGCATTTTCCCGACGATTCTTAAGTTCGCTGCATTAGGGAGGCGTCAATTGCCCCCTAACCTACTACAGGCGCAGCCCAGGTCTTCATATGACGATTCTTTTTAAAACACAAATAATAAATCAGGTAACAAGTTCACTTAAGCAAGAAAGATTACTCATGTTGTTGTTTCGGCTTATTCTCCAATGCCTGACAAAGTCAGGCAAGGTCCATCAGACCGTTGACCCTAAGAAAATCGAGAACCAGAGGGAGGAATAAGAGTATGTCCTCCCTGGAAAGTCCCAAACAGTTCAGGATGTGTTCGGGAAAAGCCTGCTCAGTTTGAAATTTGGAGCAGACCTCTAAAATTCTTATGCTTTCGAAAAACGAGAGACTTTTTGCATGACGACTTGCTAATCTGGAAATTGCGGTTTTAGAAGCTCTGTCACAATTGAGGGCAAATAAGTAACCTGGCTCTTTGCCTGCATACCAGTGATGGCAGGGAGGAATCTTCCACCCCTTCGAAATTTCAGAACTAATTATGGATTGATGTTCTAGAAAGGTAAGTGTTAAAGAGGAAGGATTAGCGTGGTAACAGCACTCCTTGGCCAGTCGATCCGCCATTGCCGTATATGTCAACATGAGATGGGATCCACTGAAAATAAACATCGTGGAATTTTGAAATGAGCTTGAGTTTGAGAAGGATAGAAATGCTAGTTTGATTTCCAATTGCAATCCAGTTGTGGAGGTGTTGGAGAAAGCTGCGACTGTCCGAAAGGATCCAGTTGTTGTTGTAGTTGTAGTTCATTTACGTCACACGACTAGAGCTGCACAATGGGCTATTGGCGACCGTCTGGGGAGCATCCCTAAGGATGATCCGAAGACATGCCATCACAATTTCGATCCTCTGCAGAGGGGATGGCACCCCCACTGCGTCCGAAAAGATCCAGAGGTCCCCGACGTCATTTTCATTAAAAACAGCTTTAAAGCCTTGTTCAGTTGCTATTAATTCACTCTTGAAGACCGATGAGAAGTCAGGGTTGCGGAGGCAGATAGACAGTTCCCCCCTCCGGTTTCTCGGTGTAGATGCCGCTGCCTGCGTAATAGTCCAGTCTACTGCCGTCCGTAAAAAAATTTATGGCATTGTCGGGGATCTTATTTATAATTTCTAAGGCCAACTGTCTGAGATGAGCTGGGATCAAGTCCTTCTTGGTAAACGTGGTAGTAAAATTGAAGTGGAAAAAAACTCTTCAATCAGTAACCCAGAAGCTTGGCACACAAAGAACAAAACACCATCCTTACCTTATCATGACAATGTAAAAATACTGATAAAAATACTGAAACAAGGTTTACCATTCGCTTTTTTTTCGTCTTAAAGTGACAATATTTTCAAAAAGCTTAAAAAATTATATTTTATCCTTTTTTGATGAATGGATTAAAATTTTGTGACAATGCAAAGAAAATTTCGATACAAGATTTTCTGGGTACACAGTGAACTGTTGAGTTAAAAGGTCTCAAAATACATGGGATTCAGTAACCCAGAAACATGAACAGTAAAGAGCTTGCGGCGCTCTCTAGTGTAGAAAACATGATCTATAATACGTTTAGATCTTGCTCCAAAAGACCGTCACAGTTAACCGACCCATTTATTGTTGTGATTAGGATTTAAAGGGCAGCAGCAGTGAGAAAATTATCCGCGAGCCCGAGAATCTTCAATTTGTGGATTCTGCCGAGAAAGAAAAAAAAAAGTTTGATAATGGAATGATTGGTGTGTTTTAAAGAAATCAGCGTTAGCTCAGTCCTTATTCGATAAGCTTTTTCTTAACTCTTTTTCTAGTTTTTAAAATCGAATTCATCATGTTTTGCAGAACAGCATTTTCTCAGCTACAAAAATTGAAGATATCCAAATTAAATGTGCACAATGCAGATAAACTGATTCGAACAAGGTCGAATGCAGCACTTAGTTCTGTTTTCGTGTCCCGGGATTACAGTTCCCATGTAATACCGGAGAATCTGCAGTACGTAGAGGATGCTGATAATCCGTCATTTTTTCACATGGTTGAATATTTTTATCATAAAGGATGGTCTGTGGTAGAAGACAAACTAGTGGAAGAGTTCAAAGGAAAAATGACCCTCGACGAAAAAAGAGAAAAAGTGAGAGGCTATCTGGGAATTTTAGGTCCTTGCCATTCTGTTTTAGAGGTGTGCTTCCCACTAAAGCGAGACAGCGGTAAATATGTGATGATAAATGGATGGAGAGCTCAACACAGTCATCATCGGACACCTTGTAAAGGAGGTAATCCTACTTATGTATGTTATTTTTCAATCGATACAAATCAGTCACCCATTTCTTCTTATAAATGCTTTCATCTGTTGCAAAAAGGGAATAATTTTAAGTTGCATAAGTTCTATCTTAAGTTTCTGCATATTTTTTTAGCTTACTGTGAAGCATCCATGGAACTTTCTGCAAAAGAACTCACCCAAGAACTGTGTTTTCCTTGGAACTCTAAATGTTTCTTTGTAGTCTAGTTGTGTATCTTACAAAAATTCTACTTCAAAGCCCCTGTGGCAGAATTTTTTCGTACTTTCGGCAACATACCTCTCTAATACTAATATCTTTTTGCAAGATAATTTTAACAATAACAAATATACATGCCACTAAACTAAAGTCACTGAAGGTCAACATAAAAAAAAAAAAATTTTAAATTAAATATGTAATATTTTTTTATTCTATATTATGTGCGATACTCTCACATTTTGTAGGGAGAAGGTACACTAATTATTTCCTTTTTTGCATTTTGTAAATATTCATCACATTAAAAATCGAGAAATCCATAGCAGTAATTACCAAAAAAATAAAATCTATGGAGAAATCACATGAATTGGATTCCTCAAAAAAGGGTTACTAAATGTGTGTTTTCATTTCGCAATACAATATATATGTAATTGTTATAATAAATAATATTGTTTAAAAAATATTGGATTTTAAAAACTATGTGGAAATCAAATAACTGCATAAAAAAAATTAGCGAAAATTTCTACTGAAATTTTTTATTTCACTGTTCTTTATTTTTCATTATTCACAAGTTATAATAGAAAAATCACAAACATATTTTTTCACTCTGATGCACGAGAAAGGCATCTTTTGATTATAATTCTGAAAAAATAAAATCTTTTGAAAATTTCTGTTTAAAAATTCTTAGACCTTGCTCTTTTAAAAGTATTTTGTGAAACTACCCTTTTTCCTTAAGTTGAATTTGTGAAGGTGCCACTAAACGGTAGTAAATTTGCCCCGGACAGTTGGCCCTGTTTATACTAAACCCGCTAAAGAAAAATGTGTATTTGCTTATCTAATGTTAATTAGAAAAGAAAAAAAAATATTGTACAGTAAATTTAAATTCAGTTATTAGTGTGTCATGTATTTTTATGTAATTATATATATTATTTTTAATGTTTTTATTATTTTCTGCTGTGTGGTGATAAAGTATGTTTATTTTCAGGTATTCGTTACAGTTTGGACGTCAGCTTGGATGAAGTGAAGGCGCTGTCTGCTTTGATGACATTTAAATGCGCTGTTGTGGACGTGCCATTTGGTGGAGCTAAAGCTGGATTGAAAATTAACCCCAGGGAATACAGTGAATTCGAATTAGAGAAAATAACAAGGAATTTCGCTCTTCAGTTGGCAAAAAAAGGATTTTTAGGTGTTTGATTTGCTTTCTAAATCTTTTCATTGCATTGGCTCATCTAATTGAGCATTAAAAAGTGATGATACCACATTAAATGTGTTTATCTTTGTAGTTAGTTTATTTTTGGCTCATAGGTAGACCTAGCAAAATACCAAGTTTCAGATTTTTTGAATCACTTGTTTTCAAATAATATATTTTTAAAATTTTAAATGGACACAAATTTTTTAGTAGTTTCAAACAAATTTATTTTAAAGCTAAAAGTTTAACTAAATTATGTCATTTCATGAAATATGTAACATAAATTAAGTTATTTTAAAAAATAATTTTTGGTTAAAAAAATTATATTAAATTTTTAATAAATCATCATCAAATTAATTATGAAGTGTACCAAAAGAATTTATCCTGCTGCGAATAAAAAAGCATTATGCTAACGTTTACAAACTTTTATTAGAATTTTGCCATTGAATTTCTCTCGTAACTTAAAACAGAAAAGAAGAAGTAAAAATGTATGAGGTGGCAGAAAATAAAATCTTGAACTTATAAAATAAAAGTTATTAACATTAATAACTTTTATTTTTGAAGTTCAAGATTTTTTTCCAATTTCATAATGAATGTATTTTTTAATGTCATTATTCAAAATATTTATGTGTTTAAATTGTAACTCCTTAATTTTAAATATTTATTAGAAAGAGTAATATTTCCATTATTATATGCTTAAAGATTATTTTCTTTTAGTAATTAGTATTTAAGATATTAATTTCCTAGTGATCTAAGGAGTTAATGTTTAAATATATTAAAAATAGACATCCTAATTGATAAACTATATTATCATCGAACAATATGTAACTGTTAAAGTGCCTTTATTTGCTTTCTTTTATTAGTTAGAAAACTATAGTGAAACTATATCGAAAGTTAGAAAACTATAATGAAACGATGACGACAACCATTGAGAAATTTTTCTAACTTTAAAATGTTATTTTTTAATATTATAAGAAATATCAGGAAAATGTATGAATTCTATATTTTTAAACTGAAATAATTTGTTAGTAGGGTAAAGTTTGACAGCTATTATCAGAAAAGTGTCGAACATAAAACTAATTTCTTATAGAAAGTATAAACAGCAAAGTTTTCATATCCTTTAGTTGCGATTTTAGAGATATGTGTGAGGCGTGACCTCGTGAGGTGGGGCATTGTAACTTCATCTTTTAGTAAGGAATGAACCAGCCCTTCTCAATCTTCTCTTTAACCCTGAAGTGCACTATTTATGATTAAAAATAAATAAAATATCAATGACCACTAATATGTAATTTTCTTTTCTTCTATAGGACCAGGTTTAGATGTTCCTGCCCCTGACATGGGTACCGGAGAGAGAGAAATGAGTTGGATTGCCGACACTTATGCCCAGACTATAGGTAATAATTTATATTCATTTGCTTACTTAAAAGGTAGTATGTATATGCCTTATATAAGATTTGAAGTAAGCCTTTAAACTGTTTTAACGTTTTTGTGTTTTTTTTTGTATAATTAATTATTTTTGTTTTATTTACATTAAATTGAAATGAAACATTCTTAAGACTATGAACAACTTGTAATTCAAACTCCTTAGATCAAGAACATGTTAATCAGGGTATGTAGCGTTTTTTAAAGGTGCTTATTTTCGTTTTTTCAAAGCCTTTAAATGTTCTTTTTCAATGGATGTTTTTAAAAAGTGCTTAATTTTCCCTTTTTCGAAAGGAGATATTTTTTCTTTACCATGTTAATTTTTGATAATTTTATGTTAAATTATGATCTTCACATAAATCTGATCTCTATGAATTATGATCTTTATCATAAATTTATGTTAGTGAGCAGTGTATTTGAGCAGGACTTTTTTTCAAGAACTTCAAGCATTATTGAAAATTACTTGGTTAAAAATAGATTTAAAAGAAATTAAATTCAACTGTTTAAATTATATATACATCATATGATCACAGTTAATTGTGCCTCTTTTCAAACAAGTCTTTAAATTATAGTTTATGCTTTCAATAAATCATTGTTTAGAATCTTTTATTCCACATTCTGACTCGTTTTATGCCACATTCCATTAAATGGTTGGTTATTTTGTGATACACCAGACAATTGATCATTACTAAGTTTGATTTGGTTTATAGAAAATTTGAAAAAAAATTAAAGAAAAAAATACACTTACACATATTTTTCTTGGAATTTTTTTCTAGCGGAATTTATAAAAAAAGTGTAAGTTTTTTTTTTTTGTCAAAATTGATAAAGCTTTATTTATAACAATAAGTATTCTATTTAATGTATATTTTTATCCTCTTATTAGGTCATACAGATATGAATTCCCACGCTTGTATAACTGGTAAACCAATCAATCAAGGCGGTATACATGGAAGAATTTCTGCAACTGGAAGAGTAAGATTCTATTTTTAAAATATATTTTGCTTTGTTGAGTTCCAAGGCACGTTGGAATTTAGCTGATACAGCCATTCTATCTGCTACTACTCCCTTAAATTTGTTTATACCTCTCTTAGATATAAAAGTACATATTATGCAGTTTATAAAATCTTTGAGGCGGCAGCAGTGGGATAATCAAGTCGATAGTGAATTGCATACTGTCTTACTTCGCAGTGCAGATGCTAAACTTACCCGGCTCTGAATCGGACATACCAGACTGACTCTTCTACATTTGTTATTTGGAGAACCTCTTCAATGCAACACTTGTGATGTCTTACTTTTGATTCATCACATTTTAATAATTTGTTAGGTGATACCCATCATCCTAACATTTTTGCATTTTTACGTGCTATTGTTAGCTTAAATTATATATAAATTTTAACCTATCCCTGATTTTATTCACATTTAAGAGTATGTTCTTGCCTTTGTTTTAGTTGACTATTTTAACTGATTTTATTTCATTGTCACCTTAGATTGTTTCTGTGCCATTTTATCAATGTTTAATGTATTTTATAAAAATAATTGTAGTATGCACTTTGCTTTTTCTCTTATAAAAACATGTTTGGTGCAGCATGACCTCACTTGGACCTTGTGCCATAAAACCTACATTCAATCTATTCTTAAAGTGACCCTTTTTTTAAAAATGTTTTCTTATCAATCTGTTACTATATCAATGGGTTATGTCTAACAGATTGCAGATATTGGTAAGCATGATTCAGAAATAATATTAAAAATAACTTGGTTGATAAAAGAAAATTATATGGCTGACAAAATGTTCATATTGAAATTTAATACTTTTATAGAAATAAAATGTAGAGAGCAATTTTTTCCGAACAGAATCAAGTGATTGCAAAGAAAAATTTTTTTTAAAAATTAAGTCAATAAGCTGAAGAAATAAATATAATTGTTTGGGGAGAGAGTAAGTAACTGCATCTTAACTAAACTTTTTAGTGTGTATCAGCTGACTTATTTTAGAGAAACATAATGAGAGATTTCTGCAAGAGATTCTCCGTTGCTTTCTAAGCAATAAGAGGCCCTAGACGTGATGTCACATTTCCAAATGTTATCATTAACAAGGATAAATTTAAAACGATCTTTACTTTCCTGTTACATTAAATTTGGTGTTTGGTTAAATTTGGTGTATATGTGTTTGCTTTTAATCAATTTCTAACTTTGTTTTTGTTAAGTGTATTGCAAATTTTGAATGTTATACAGAATTACAATTTTTCAAACAAATAAGATTGGTAACTATTTTATAAAATGTGACAAATAGTTATTTATTTTCAATTTCGAAAATTGTTTCCAAACTTTTTTTTTTATCTAACTCCTTAAGTTAACTGCCTAGTTAAATCAAATTAAATTGAAACAACACTTGAAAATTAACAAACTGAAACAATAGTTAAAAAAGGAGCTGATATAAATATTAAAACCTGAAATAAATCAGGATGTAAGATCAATTATATAATGTAAAAAATAAAAAAAACTATCTGAAAATTCCTGTATAAAAATAATTGTGAACAGTGGGAGAAAAAACCCCCTCAAACTGAAGCCTAATCAGAAATATATCATTTTTAAAAACAGAAAGCTTCAATCTGCTTCATAAATTATAGTCTGCTTTTAGCAATAAATAGTTGTATGCTTATATTATTCTGTTTTTAAAAAAAAAATTTTACTTACGATTTTTAACGAAAGCAGATGTGATTCCACATTAAGCAAAATTTGTAAATATGACAGCACTTATATAAGGAATCAGAATTTATTCAATTGAAAAATATTTATTCGTTAATAGTTGTCTGATAAATATAGCAGAGAATAAAAAGATTTTGTACGTAATGTATTAACCGAAATTATAAAACTATATTGTGTCATAATAAATCAATAATAACAAAATTTGAGAAACTAAAATAGATTTTAAAGAAAACCTAACATGTTAATAATCTCAAAGAAGTTTCAAGTTCCTTTACTCTGGCATCCAATTGACAAAACTCCAAAAATGATTATGAGTAATAGAAGAATCTTGAAGGTACACCCAATGATTGCCCTATGACTCAAGTGCAAATTACAGTATTGAAAACGGATAAAGTATAAAGCTACATCTAAAACAAGTTTTTAAAAGAACTCTTGCTTCCAAATTACAAGAAGGAATGAAAGCCAACCGGTGGAAAGATGACCTCCAAAATATCCCTAATGGTCCACGCCGTGAAGTTGTGGAACAGTTTCGACTCCTAATGGGCCACGACTGTCTGGCGGAACACTTGCACCGCATCGGTATTCTTAATTCACCTGACTGTCCTCTCTGCAACTTAGCAGAGCCCATGAATAGGACCCACCTCTGCCAATGTGCTGCATTGCATTCCGGCTCTGAATCGTCGCTTTATTGGCAAGCCAGGGAACTTTTAGAGCAATGACTTCGGTCATTCTGTTTAGTTTATTTATTCACCTGTTTTGTCTTTGCATTTGTTTTCTGTGTTATTTCTTGTTTATGCCCTGCCATTGGAAATTAAAAAAAAAATAAATAAAAAATATTGAAAACGGAAGAAATAAATCCCCTAATTTGATAGTTTTAAATTCTCTGGCAATTCCCGATTTTGGGATAAAATTGCATTTTTCCTTGAAAATTCCTTTAAAAAAATTTTTGGAATCTCGTTTTCCCTGATGATTCCCAACGATAACGAGCGTATCATTTTACTTTTCGACTATATGGTTGTTCAATTTCTGAATTTTCATTCCAGATTCTAAATTTAGCAGGATCCGGGCTTAGAAAAGATTCATATTTATTTTTATTTTTTAATACATAATTTCCTATAAGGAGTGGGAAAACTTTTTAGCATTTTCAATTAAATGTTATAATTTTTTTTCGTATTTAATCCGCTTTTTAAATAATGTGTGTTAAAAAAAAAAACTAACTACTCTTATTTGGATTGTAACAGATATTTATAACTTTCTTTGAAATCACTTAATTGGTACCAATAATAAAAATTTATTCGTTTTATTTCTATAAATTATGAATTTTGTTGTAGTCTACGCAAAGCTTGATTGTTCTTTTATTTTTTTTCTCCATTGGCACACCCTTTGCAGCGAATGTTGAAGAGTTCTTGCAGAAAGATTTTTCTTCTGAAAAATAAAAAAAAAATTTACTTTTCTTTTCTACGGAAATTTACACAATATTTGAATCACCAGTTATTAATATTGTTTTTCAGGTGGGTTTTAAATATCCTGATATATTTCGAACAATATGAAAAATTGTACATTTGAGTGTTTACTTTTTGAGGCAATAATTATATGGAATTTTTGGCAGCTATTACTATTGATTTCTCCATAGTTTTCAAATCCGATATTTTTTATGAGATGTTATTTATTACAAGAACCTAATCTTAAAACAAAACAGGCATTTGAGAAGTCCGATTCGTGTGATTTCCTCGTCGATCTTTTTTCAGGCAATTTTTACTTTGGATTTCATGATTTTTATTTTGTTATTATGAAGAATATTTACGAAATGCGAAGAATTAAATAATTTGTGCATTACCTACCCCCTCCCAACAAAATATGAGAATATCACCCATAATATTAGAATAAAAATTATTGCATGTTCAATTTAAGAAGAATTATATAGTTTTTTTTTTTATGTAAACACAGTGCTTTTGTTATTTTAAATTATTAACATATATCTGATTGTTATTATTAAAAGTATTTTGCTGAAAGATATTAGTGCTACAGAGTTTTGTAGCAGATAGCACAAAAAAGTTCTGCCTCAGGGTTTATGGCTTTTAAGTTGAAAAGGGTGGTGCCATGCTCTTTTGGCTGTGTCTTACAGAAATTAAATACAGTACAGAATCCAGAAATCAGAAAACGAAATTCAATAAATTTTCTCGCCATTTTTTTTAAAAAATATTTTTTTTCCTCATAAGATTTTAGGATTTTTCTTTCTTTTTTGAAAGATGTTTACCTTACCATCGTTTTGGAAATAATCATTAGTGTATTACTTCATCGTTTTTTCTTCTTTTTAAGATTATTTCCAAAATTTTTTATTTTTTTTAGTTGGGTTTAACAATAAAAAAAACTGTTTTTTGTAGCGATTCAGAAAACCGGAAAAATCAGTTATCCGGAATAGCGATGGTCCCGATCGTTCCGGATAATCGGTTCCCTACTGTATATATATATTTTTACATGTAAACAAAAGAACAATTATGTTTTCATTAAATTATCTTTTATCACATTTGTCCAAGTTTTTTTGTTTGATTTTTACAAATAATTTAAAAGTAATAAATGGATTTTTTTTTTCAGGGTGTGTATCACGGACTGCACAATTTTGTGAATGAGGCAAGCTATATGAGTATGATTGGAACAACACCTGGATGGGGTGGAAAAACATTCATTGTTCAAGTTTGTTTAATTTTTTTAATCAATATTTTCTTCTTACTGAAAGCTCTTAACATATATATTTCAAATAGATTGCTCTAGTTAAAATTCATGCACATTTTAGAATGTTTTGTGAGCTAGTCATTCGTATCACTACTTTTGATTTTTATTAATATTATACAGAATTGTTCACTAAATTATGCAGGCAAGCTACTTTGTTGTGATTGATCAATTAGTATTAGCAGATTTGTAAAAGGGATAAAATCTTTTTGTTTTTTAAATTAATGTTTATGCTGTCATCAAATATATCACTCTGTACAGAATTTCAAATAACTTGTTTGCTGCAATGGTGAATTGGCAAATTGGAGTTTAGTTTAGTTTGCTATTCATAATATTCGCTGTTAGTTGTTATGTCATTTAGTTATGTGTTTACAATATTTTATAATTTATTTTTTTACTTTTTGATTTAAAAAGAAAAATCACCTTGTACCGCACTTTTTCCTAACTCATAATGTAAAATCAAAGTTCAAGGTTATGTCATCTTTCTAGAGGAGTATAACTCATTGTCAATTCAGGAAGAAGATGTATATAACTGAACTTGTTACTGTTCATTTTTCTAACGTACATAGAAAAGTCGGAGATTTTTTTTCCTGGAATTAAGGTATAACCCTGTCGATCCATCAAAAAGTGCAAGAATTCAAAATTACACAAAACCAAGTGCAGAACTTTAGTACTAATAGTTGCCAATTCTTCAGTATTTTGTGGAAGCATACCACATTTTCGCTCCGCTTTCCCCCATTCCACACAAAGACTGACCCCTTCCAAATTTTTTTAATTCGTACATTAAGTTTATTCATTGAGATTCAATTTATTCAAATTCACCTTCCCTGTTTTGTGATCTATCAAGAGTGCATTATGTCTCCTATGTGTCCTTAGCATTCAATTGTATTTCTCTGAATTCAACAAAAAAAAAATAAATATGTTAATGCACTTTATGTAGTCCTATAAATTTTATGCAATTTTCTGTTATTAAGGTACAATAAAAACTTTTGTGTTTAATGTATAAGTCTTGGTTTTTAAAAGTTTGGCAACATTGTCGTGGAACGTTACCGCGTTCTTGCAGAAAGATTTTTCCTGTGGGAAGTAAAAAATTTTGCTTTTCTTTTCTGCAGAAATTTTCAAAAGATTTTACCTTTTCTTTAGAATCATATTGCTCATCTTAGTGAAAAAGAAATGCTTATGATTTTTCTATTCTCATTTGAAAATAATAAAAAATAAGGAATTATGAAGTAAAATTTTTTCTTTTGTTTTCTGTAAAAATTTTCTTTCTATTTTTCATGCAGTTATTATTACTGATTTCACATAGCTTTTAAAATCCGATGTTTTTAATACGATATTATTTATTGCAGCAACTGAATCTCTAAATGAAAACACAGGTTTAGTAACCCTTTTTTGAAGAGTTTCGCCTTCAATCTTTTTTTCGGTAGTTCAGGGCTGATTGTGCTCCAGAAAAAATCCAGATTTCCGGATTTTTCGCTAACAGTGATCCGGAAGTTTCCGGTCCAGATGTTTTAAAAAAATCATTGATCACAGAAGTTAACGGAAATCGAATTATCAAAGGTGGAACTTAAAAGCACAGTTTATTTTATTTGTTTGTAAGGGAGAGCCAGAGAGATACTTTATAAGCTTATATTCATGATTAATATTCATTTTTTATCAGTAAATAGTTGATATATCAGTAAATAGTATCAGTAAAAAATCATAAACTCAAGAAAGGAAGACATATTTGTAAATTTTAATTATACTTCTCCAGGTCATCATAGGTATGTGTAAATGGTATAGGTATGTGTAAAAATTTAAATATATTTTAAGTAAACTAAGAAATATTGAGAAAAAGGAAAAAACCTTGTTTAAATTTTTTTCGTTTTAAACTTTTTTCATTCTTTTTTTTTTAATTCAGGAAATTTTCTGGAATTCTGACTTGGACTCACAATCACCCCTATTAGTTACTGCTACAGATTTTCTGATTTTTTTTATATCTGTATTTTTAATGTGATGATGAATTATAAAATGCGGAAAAGGGAATAATTAGTGTATTTTCTTCCTTCAAAATGCGAGATTATTACCCATAATATTAGAATAAAAAATATTGCATATTCAATTAAAAATTATTATTTTATTTGATCCAATTTTAATTTATTTTTTGAAGTTGTCTCTTTTGTTACTTTAAATTAATAACATGTATATTTGTTATATTTAAAAGTATCTTGCAGGAAGATATTAGTATTTTAAAGAGGTATGTCACTGAAATCAAGAAAACTTTTACCACAGGGCACACTTCTAGTGATCCATTACTTAAACAAATATAATTTAATTTTTAGGAGATTCTTTATAAATTGATTACAATTACAAACTATTTAAATGAGAAGAAATATTTACATGTAAACAATTTGTTACTGGCATATTAATATTGTTTCTTTTTCTTGCAGGGCCTTGGTAATGTAGGATTGCATGTGATGCGATATCTACACAGAGCTGGCGGTCGATGTATTGGCGTCATGGAAGTCGATGGTAGTATTCTTAATCAAGATGGAATTGATCCTCGTGAATTAGAAGATTGGAAACTTGTAATTATGTTTCTCTGATATATTTATCTAAAAATAAGTATCAACATCAATATTTTAAAAAAAAATTCAATTTATCTCAATTTAAAATTGCATTCAGAAGTTCAGTCAGCGTTCAGTTAGGTAACAGAATGAGCGTTTTTTGTTTCGCTTGATAGACTTATTCAACATCTCTTAATATTACTGTCCTACTGATAGTCGCAATCAATGCCATTGAGGAAATTTGAGCCGGAATATATTAAAATTATTTAGTAAAACTGCAAAAAGAGAATAAGAATGTATCGAAGCAAACATACTTATGGTTTCGTTATTAAGCTTCTCATTTATTTTCTCTGTTATCACCTTGCACAAAAACTGCTATAACTTTGCAAATTATTGGAGTACAAATAAAAGTAAAGTATTTTTAGAGAGCTAAGAGTGCAGGAAATGTAAATTTATAATAAACTCACTTTCTAAAATTGTGCGGGCCAGATGGCTGAGCGGTTAGCGTGCTTGACTGTGAGACCAGTGACTACGGGTTCGAATCCTGCTCTGGGCATGGATGTTTCTTTCTATGTGTTGTCATCTGTTGTGTGTGAATGTGGCCCACCCTATGAATGAGTATTTGTGGCTGTGTGGCGTGGGTAATGTTGCTTGCCTCTGTGACTTAAGTTCACAGGCACCCACTGGCTAACGTTAAATGAGCAACACTTCCGGCATTTTCCAAGGTGAGGAACGATAGTTCAGCATCCGCCGTTACGGGGAAAAAAATTCTAAAATTGTGCCCAAAATTAAGTTTTTGCACTAATATGCGATGATTAGTTCATGATTAAAGTCCTAATTTAAATCACTTAATTATTATTTTTTTAAATCATTGATTTAAATTAACTATTTTTTTTAAAAATGATTAATTTTACAATATTTTTTATTCCATGTAAAAAAATATGTTTTTATGTCATATAATAAAGATCTTTAGGGTTTGATTTTTTTCTGATTTCATGGATAATATAATGAAATAAAAGTGGAATGTATTTATTTCAATGTACAATAAAAAAAATAAAAAAAGAATGGCAGGAAACTTTTGAACTATAATATCCCATTAGCTGCATGTAAAATAATTTTCTGCTAATAAGCGTATTTAAGGTAAATTTTTTAAAAGCTTATTGAATACGCATTTAGTGTATACCAAGAAAAGACTTGTTTTACCCACATTAACTTGCAATAATTTTGTTTTCAATTATTTTTTATTATCTAAACTAATTTATTCATTGAATTGGCAAATTCCTAATTTAAAATTCTTTAGTTAAGTTTTAAACAAAAGTAACCATGATTTTATATATTATAATACAGTTTATAATATAAAAGATAAGGCCATTCCATGAACATTAACTTTGCGGATATAAACAATGAAATCTCTATAATTAAGTATGTAACTTTTCATTGTTTAATCGTTTGCTGAGAGCTTACAAATTCAAAAATGAAGCAAATCAAATGTTTATTATATTACCTGATTTAAAACTGCATTGCTTAAAAAATACATTTCTGGTATATGTAAATAGCAGTCAATATGTTTCAAGCGCTTCAAAAATAGGCACCAATTCGCAATGAGAAGAAGCAAAGGTAATTTGAAGTAAAAACGTTAAGTTGCTTATAAAAAATAAAATTGAGAAACAAAACTAGAAAAACCACAGTAGCTGAGAGAGAAAAAAAAGATGAAAAACAGAATAAGAAAAGACTAATGTTGCAAGGTTTGCATTGACTGGATCATCTAATGTCATACCTGCCAAATCTCCTGTCTTTTAACGAAGACTCCTGTATTTTATGGCTATCTCCTGTTTACCCATATATTCTCATATTTCTCCTTATTTGTCACAGAAATTTTTTTTTAAAAAATGGTGATAAAATATCCGCTGATGGCAAATATACTTTTCTTATTCCTCAACAGAGGTTGCTACTGCCAGTACTGCAGTATGTTGAGTGTTTATAGTTGACGTAACTATAAATAATGATTTAAAAAATCTTATCCATATCCATATTTTTTACTTCGCTAAATGAAAGTTCTTATATTATTTTCACTTTTGAGTTTCTTTTTTTGACTTACATGATTATGCATGATGTATCAAAACATTACTCATAGCTTAAAAAATGTCGCTAGTAAAATCTCCATTATTTTATTTCTCCAATGTTGGCAGATATGCAATGTTTTCAACTATTTTAATTACATAGTTTTTAAAGTATGTGAAGTGTTTTAAATTCGTTTTATCAGACGCTTTGGTTTGTAAAAATAAGAATTAATTTAATTTTAAAAAATTAGATATCAAATGTTTTTTTTTTTTTAAATCAATTTTTGTTGATCCTGCTTCATAGAAAATATGGTTGTTTTATTAACATATTTGCTGTGTTTCAGGCCCATGGGACTATCAATGGTTTTCCAGGAGCAGAAGAGTACACCGGTGAAAGTCTCCTGTATGAACCGTGTGAAATTCTTATACCTTCTGCCATTGAAAAAGTCATCACAAAGAGCAACGCTCATAAATTGCAGTGCAAAGTAGGTATATTTTTTAATTTAACAAATTTTTTTCCTGTGTTCTAATGGTTTATTTTACTTGAACTTGTGTGACATTACTGTAAAAAGTGCTTAATTTTCTATCTTTTAAAAAGAGATTTTTCTCTGTGTTCCAAGAGTCATAGTAAACAGTACGCATTATAACGCTTGCATACTGTATACTATTACTCTTGAACACATTTGAAAAGTGTGATGACATCCAAATAAGGTGCACACGCCATCAAACTCAAAACAACACCCATTTGGCCAATGGGTAGGGGGCAAAAAAAGAAGAAAAAAAAACTTATGACCTTTTTAAAACGTGTTTCAGAGTTTTGATTTTTTTTAAAATCTGAATAGAAACAAAATATTTGTATTTTTTCTGTACTTTTGACAAATACAAAATCAAATATTCCACTTTCATTAAAAAAGTAGGATTATTTTAATTGAGGGGTGGCTGTTAGGGGTTACTTGGTCTACTTTCTATTTGCGCTTCTTGCCTAAATGATGATTATGTGACAATACGTTTCTACTTACAATATTTTTATTTGTTCCATATGAATTTTAAATCATTGCAATTTGAATTTTTCGACAGAAGTTATTTTAAAAAAAAATTCATGAAGTTTGTAATTTAAACTATTTACTACCAGGTAAAAAGTAAATTTAACTTTCTAAATTTTCGATTTGAATTTTTAATAAATCATCATGAGCCAATTCTAAAAAAGAATTACTGTGAATAAATTATTTTTTTTTGCCGTGTGGATTTTTTTCAATTGGCAAGATATGAGTTCAAGATAGTTTAACTTGTTTTGAAGCATTGACTTATGTCTTTATTTACAGATAATTGCAGAGGCTGCTAATGGACCTACAACTCCAGCGGCTGACAAAATTCTGATGGATCGTAACATTCTTGTCATCCCTGACTTATACATTAATGCAGGTGGTGTGACAGTCTCTTACTTTGAGTGGCTTAAAAATCTCAACCACGTGAGTTACGGCAGACTTCTTTTCAAGTATGAGAGGGACTCCAATTACCATTTGTTGGGTGAGTAATCATTTCTTTTTAACACCCATAAACAGAAATTTTGTGGCTTCTGGCTGACTGCAGTCAAACAAGTAGGCTATCCTACACTATCTGGATCTATTCATTAATACAAAATGTTAAATTATTGTATTGATCAAAAATGGCATAGCTTTTTCCATAAACTAACATTGAGATGAAGATGGTACCAACAGCCTTTATGTATTCTGATCTAAACTATTTTACTCTTCATTAAATCAATTGTCTAATTGCTTTTGTAATAATTTTTGAAGCATTTTCGTTGGAAATATCAAACATTATATTATTGTTTTTAAATAATATAAATAGTTTATATAATGTTGTAAAAATTTTTGTTTATTTTATGTTTTAAATGCAATTAAATTTTTTTATTAAATATGAATTTTTTTAACATTAGGTGTATACATATTTTTTTAACCTGATTTTGTTTTCTTTGACTAAAAATGTATTAGAGAAAACTATTTTTAGTAAGAAGCTTGTTAAGAAGATTGTATAAACTTTTGATATAAATCTTTATTTATTATTTAATTTCTGAAACTAGCATTGAAATTACATTCGTTTCTGTTTCTTATTCCTAATAAGTAGATGAATCGGAAGACTTGTGCACAGTTTACACACAGCCCTCAAAATTTCCCTCTGTTTCAGCAATTTCATGTTTAACTTCTGTTTAGTTTAGCGTTAGTTCCTTTTTAGAACCTTTAGTTCCTTTTATAGCCTTTTTTCAATATTTTAAAAAGCCAGATGAACCGGGAAAAATTTTAAATACTGGCTTTAACTTACATTAAACACTGCATTTAAAAGCTAAAATCTTATCTTAATTCAAGCTAAAATGGTAAATTGCAGCATGACTTAAGATTTCATAATACAGTACTTTGTTCAAGGAGTGCATTGTCAATCGTTCAAGCAATAAGTTTTTTGTTGTTAGCCCTGTGGCAGAATTTTTTTTGAAATATCTGCGGCAAAACTGTCAATCACTAATATCTTTCTGCAAGATAATGTTTTGACAATAACAAACATACATTTTACTAATTTTAAAAAACTGTGTTTATAAAAAAAAACTAATTTTTTTTAAATGAACTTGTGATAATTTTTTATTCTAATATTATGAGTTATATTCTTGCATTTTGTGGGGGGGGGTGCTCAAATTATTTCCTTTTCATTTTGTAAATAATCATCACAATAAAAAATAAATAAAAATCGTGTAATCCATTATCGAAAAAAACAATCAGCGTCGAAATTACACTAATTCAGTCATGTCAAAGATACGGCCCGCGGGCCACATCCGGCCCCCGGTTCGTATCAATACGGCCCACGATCGCGATGTGTCACAGAAAGAAGAATCGTGTTTTTTAGAGCTTTTAGACNAATAATTTTAATATCGTATAAAAAATATCGGATTTAAAAATAGAAATCAATAGCTGCCAAAAATTGGATGGAATCATTGCCTTAAAAAGTAAATACTTAAATGCCTGATTTGAATTTTCCATATTGTTTGAAATATATCGAGATATTTAAAAACCATGTGAAAATCAATATCAACTGTCAAAAATACAATCAAAACAATACATCAATTTACAATACTATCAGCCTAAAATAAACGCGTCAGAAAGTGATTATCTAACTGCGCGGTTCAAATATTACGTGTAACTTTCTGTAGGAAAAAAATAATAAAATTTTTTACTTTTCAAACGAAAAATCTTTCTGCGAGAACTCTGAAATGTTCTGCGACAATCTCGCCCTGTTGCGATTCTGCCATAGGGATTGTTAGTTTTAGTAAAAGTTTTTTTTAGTTGATAGTTTAAATAAAAATTTTAGGGGGAAATTGCAAAATTTGTTTCTTGATATTTCAGTAACTCAGTTTTGTGCAGAAATATTTCAGAACAGAAAATTTTTCACTCTTTTGATAGGATTGATACAAAATGTTGTTAGCAAGAAAATTTAAAGTTAGTAGAATTTACCATTTCTTTAAGATTCAGTACTTGTGGGAGATTATTTAATCTCATATTAAAATGTAGATTTAATTCTGTTCTTTGTAAAAACAAACTTTGTAGAATTTGTTGCCTGGGAAGGCAAAACAGGAGGAGTATCAGAATATTTTTTTATGAATTGTTATTGAAAAATATTTAATTAGTCACCCAAATCTGTTTTAAAACAATAGAATGATTTAGCATTTAGAAATTTTTAGGATTAAAAAAGCTGCTTATATAAATTTAGTCTAAAGAATATTTAAATATATTTTTATTTTAGTATTATTATTGTTGAACATCATTAACCATAAATCGCTTTGTGTTAAATATTGCTTTTCATGAAAGACATGTTTGGTCCCTTGAGTCAGCAATCACTTAACATGAAAGGAAACTGGGCACAACACAGATACGAAACATGTGAATTAAGTGCCAATTATTTATTTTGAGGAATGCTATTTCTTTGTTAGAAGTAATAAAATATATAAAGTAGTTAAATAAATTTATTAAAATTTTTAAGCTTATTTTAACTTATTTGGTACAAAATAGTATTGTTTAAGTACATAAATGTAGTACATAATATGTATTAATAGTGTTTAATAAATTGTTTTCATGAGGTATCAGATAAGATGAAATCTGGTTAACATAAATAATTATGATAGTTTTGCCAATTTTGCGTTACCGAGGTTTGGCTGTATTACGCTGTGCTGTAGTGCATTTTTGAGGTTGGAAGGCCTGTGTATGCGTAAAATAAAATTGATGTTAAGGTATCCAAACACTCTTCTAACTTTGTACATTAAGCTCTAGTTATCTCTCGTATTTTAGCTTGGGTTCAGAAATTGGTTGAAATAAAAAGGTATATTTATTGCAAGAGAAATTTTTATGGCTAATTGATGTATTTAAGTTTTACCTTTTGGAGATTGCTCTTAAGTATGCAAAAATGATATCATGAAATTCAAAGATATTCAGAGTGTTTCGTTCTATTCCTGTTACACTTAAAAAAATCTGACTTTAAAATTGCTGTAGCTTGTTATTTTTTATCAGTTATTTAAAATGTCTGTCTTAATTTCAGAGAGTGTTCAAGAGTCATTGGAGAGGAGGTTTGGAAAAGCGGGGGGACGCATCCCAATTGTCCCCAGTGAATCCTTTCAAAAGAAAATATCCGTAAGTAGAAGAGATCAGCATTTTAATCTATATGTTGAATCTATTTACTTGTATTTATTAGATTTGTTTCACTTAATTATAATAAATACTAATCTTCCATCATTATGGGGTATTCAACTGTATTAGTGTTTGGATATGATAGATGTATACCATAACATGAAATATGCAAGTATAAAGTTAAATTTTTTTTTCTCAAGTTTCTCTACCCTATTAAATTTTTGGAACTCTGAACTTTCATTGCTGGTTTGAACCATGCTAATAAGTATTTTTAAGTTAATTAAAAGGAAATTATTGTGTGCTGCCAGTTTGGAATTATCTCAATAAGTAAATGAGTAAACATCTAACCCTTGTCTCATAGCAGGTCAAAAGGAATATGACCCTTGTTTGTGCATATAAGGTCCCAAATATATACAAACACACTTAATTAAGAACGCATATAAGGAGACAAACACAATAAAAAATATTGATAATCGTCAGAGATCTTTCCTCTCGAAAGTCAGTAAACTGTCTGCTCATTCAAGGTTAATGCAGATCAAACCAACAAAATGTATGAACTGTGTGAAAATGAAACCACGCTCCACAAAAATTAAACATTACTGAATTAAATAGTAGCATTATCTTTTTATTGAATAAACTAAGATTTGATATTTGTTTGACAATCTCAGACTTGCCGACCTTCCGGATCGAACTTCTTATTTTCTACTTTTCCGGATTGAACACAATCTATGGATTTTTAAAATTTTTTTTTTGTTAAAAAGAAAAAAAACTTTACTAAAATTGGTTGATTTAAAAAATAAATTAAAAGAAAGCAAAAGACAGAACATTCCTGGATTCCATGGAACTCTACTGGATTTTGCTAATTTGTCCTGGGTTTTTCATATTTTAAAGAATTCCCTAAAATTGAATAAGTTTCTTAAAAAAATCTTTATTTAAATAGAATTTTTATACGGCTTGCTCTAATATTTAAATAAATATTACTATTACTGGGTGGCCACCCACCTGGAATTATCAGGGAATTTTTTTTATACTGGAAATATCAGGGAAATTTGGATAAAAACCTGGAAAATCAGGGAATTTTAAAGAAAAGCTGGAAATTTTTTCTTTGATAATTTTTTTAATTTCACTAATTTAAATTATTTACTAATTTTCTTAAGCTAAATTATTTCATCCATTATACCCACTTTTTTTTAAACGGAAATGTATCGCCAAACCGTTGAAATATCATCAACTTAGCGATACTTTGCTTGCATCAATATTTGCTCCATTACAGCTCTGTCAAACTAGAATACCACATAAAATTCTCCCACGGTTGCTAAACAAATGCCGAAACCTTAGACTGCTATGGGACTGTGCAATTTAGGAAAGATTCTGGTGGAGATAGAGATTAGGATATTAGCTTCTGTTTTTAAATTCTGTCCTTGGGCTGAATCCATTTATGGCTCAAGTTTGTTCCGATACTTTGGCGTAATTTCTTTTTTCTATTTTGACAAAATGCTTTTGTATTTTTAACTTTATAAAATTCTCCAAAAACCGTTGGTTATAATTTAATAATAATAGATTTTATATTGCACTCTTTTTCTGAAAGCTTTTCTACTCCCATTCAAGGAAAACTGTGAATTATTTTTTCTCAGCAAACCAACCAATCGCAAATTTTTTTTTACAATTGCTAACAGCAATGTTTGTCGATAAATTGTTACAATTGTTGCATTAATGCTAATTTTTTCTATTTCATTTTAACCTTTTATACCATATATTAAAAAAAAAAATTTGTAAGAACCAACTATATATTGATATTTCATTTTACTCTTTTGTTGGTCAATATATGATTTTTGATTCAAAATTTTGAACGAAAACATTTGAAAAATAAGTAAAAAATCTTGCCAAATTGTCAAAATAAATTATTTTTTTTAAGATATGTTAAAAAAAATAAGATTTTGAATAAAATATTTTATAATAAAGACACTTCTTGTACACAACCTACACTTTATAAGAAAAAAGAAACAAAAACCTGGAAATTTTAAGATTTTTATCTGGAAAACCTGGAAAAATCAGGGAAATTTGAAATCTGATTTGAGTGGCCACCCTGTATTATATAATGCTGCTGACCACCCAATCAGAACATTTGTTCTTGCAACCCAGAGCCCAAAGGTCAAGAAAACTGAGATGGGCGCAGTGGGCCTTGGCCCTCTATGGGCTGTTGCGCCACTGAGTTTAGTTTAGTATAGTGAAGCTAGCCTCATTTATAAAAATCTGTTTTAAACTTTTTTTGTTCGAAGAAGTTCCGTTTATTTTTATTCAGAACTCCCTTTTTAAATTAATTAAAAAATCTTAGTTATTTTTTATGAATTAAATGCCTATTACTATTCAAAATTGTAAGCAAAAGTAATACACAACATTTAAAGTATATTTAATGCCAATCATGACTGGAAAATATTGCAGTTTATCTATTTTGATGCCTTTAAAAATGCTTAACTTCCCTATGTGTAAAATATTTAGTTTGTTATGCAACAATTCTCATGAAATTTATATTTCGCAAAGTCTACTGGATTTTTTCTTATTTGTGTTAGCAGCTATGAAAATGAATTGTATATGAGAACAGTTTTCCTATAATTTGTTTTAAAAATTAGGTTGTTTAATAAGATTCAATTTTATTTTTTCCACTGTTAGGGTGCCTCAGAAAAGGACATAGTGCATTCAGGTCTCGATTATACCATGGAGAGATCTGCAAGGGTATGATTTCTACTATTTTTTATGCACTACTTTATTTATTAGCCATCTGTTTCATTTTAGTTATGTATTCTTTATGTTTACTTTTCGTTTCCATTTACTTTTTCTTTGTTCTAAATTTTACTATAGTTCCAGAGTTTTTCTCTAAATTAATATTTAATAAATCTGCTTTAATCTTCTGAAAAGATCTCCTGACTAACTTTATTAAACTTTGCAAACTTATAACGTTCATGTCTCTGATGGTTTTGTTTGGAGGAGGGGGAAAAGTTATTTTGAGATAAAATAAAGCATTGGAAATAAAACTTCTGAATCGTTTATCTTATCCAGTCAATAATTGTTTGTATTTGCTGCACAATGCTATTATTATTCTTAGGGTTTGAGAATTGTATTTCCTACTATTACTTCACCTATATCTTGTTCAAATTTCTATTCAATCTTTAATAAAATACTTTTTACTCATCCACTCAACTTCAAATACATTTTTATTTAAACTTGAAGTGGGTGACACTTGATGTTAATATATTTCACTTATTAATTCATTCATTAAATTTAATGAATGAATTTTTAGTTTTATATGGGAGAAATAATTGTAATTTGATAAAAAGTAAATACAATAAAATTTTTCTTTGTTTACCTAAGTAGGGAATGACTTTAAAATTGTTTTTATACTACTTTTTTTTATTAAGATGATTAAATTGTTTTTCTTCCTCAGGCAATCATGCGAACAGCCATGAAATACAATCTCGGCCTGGACCTCCGAACCGCCGCTTACGTCAACTCCATCGAGAAGATTTACGCCACCTACAGAGAAGCTGGATTAACCTTTACCTAAGTAGTGTCCTTATTAAACGCTGTGTTGATTTTTTGTTTGATTATTTTTTAAAAAAGCATTTTAGTAACAAATTTATTCTGTTGTCGTTGGTGTATCCTTGCCATTAAAAAGTTTTTACCAGTGTCTTATGACAGTCTTCCATTATTCCACTCTTGTGAAGTCCTTGCAATTTTTTTATTAAATGTGATTCTTTGTTGCTTATTTACACTCTTAAGCATTTTAACTCTAGGTAAAGTTGTATTGAATTTTTGATTGAACAATTTTTGTTTGCAAAGGGAAGTTTAGAAAAAGATCTGTATGGAGGGTCACAGGGAATTCAAATTTGTTTGCTTTGTGCAGAAGAAGTTTTTGCTATGCTTTTATACCCGCTGTATGCATGATATCGTAAGTTTATGGCTTCTCTAATTGTAATTAATGGTAAGAATAATACTTCATGTGTGACACTCATTACAAGGTGTCTATCATCCTGAAAGTCTGAAATTTGAAAAAGAATCACCTTAATCCCCAAAAAGTTAGGAAATGTTTTCTTTTCGTGAGTTTACGGAAGTAAAAATGATTTGTTATGAGCTTAGTGCAATTCGTGAGTCATAATAATGCCGTATTGAAAATGTCGGAATTTGAAAAACTAGTTAGAATTAGCTAAAAAACGATTGGGGGGAAAAAACATAAATTTTGTGGAAATTGTCGGAAATACATATTTTGAATTTTTTTTTAATACATGATCACATAATCGCACATATTTCTTCCAATTTCCACAAAATTTATGTTTTTTTCCCCAATCGTTTTTTAGTTAATTCTAAGTAGTTTTACTAACTTTTTGGGGATTAAGGTGATTCTTTTTCAAATCGCAATTGAAGTGCTCATCCGAAAGGCTAACAGGCGCTGCTTTTTCAAAACCATAAAAATAAAAATTTGAGGAGGGGTTAAAATAATGAAATTCTTTAACCCCTCAAATGTTCTTTGAGAATTTAGCAAACATTTCAGAATGTATGCAGTCATTATTAAAACAACACATATTTTGTAATTGAAACCTGTACTTTTATAACTATTATTCATTGCAGTTTTTTTTTTAAAAAATATTATTTTAGCTGCTTTTTGTTAAATAATTAGTTTTTTCTCCTCTGTAAAACTGAAATTAATGAATGAATTTATATTTGAAAAAAAAAACTATTAACATCAAGTGTCATCTATTAACAAGTTTAAGAAAAAATGTGTTTGAAGTTGAATGGATAAAAAAAAAAGTATTTTATGAACGATTGAAAATTTGAACAAGATATAGGGAGATTGTGAACTGAAAGTAGGAATTGAAAAATACAAATTATAAACTAGTCTTTATTCATTTATGGGATCATTTCAATTGAAGAAAACCACACACATATATATTTTTTTTTTTGATTTGGCATTTATCTTCTTCCTGTTGTATTATGATGACTACATAATGTAGTATAAATTAGCTATTTGTTAAATTCAATCCAATTGTTCATTGGAAAAAATAGGTGTTAGCAAAAAATAGCAGTCATTTAATGAATGACTGATGATTAAGGAATTCATGTTCTGAAATTAAAGGTCAATTGGTGTTTTAAAATCATTATTTGTTAAAGCTTAAATGTTGTATTTATTCATTATAATGTCAATATTAAAAATAAAATATAGCATAATAAACCTGATATGTTTTTTTTTTTTCATTGTCTGTAAAATTTAGTAGTTTGTGTTGGAGCACAGCCATCCACCCAGTTTTAAACTTCCCGATGAGTCGAGAAAAAAAATTTGATAAAGGGTTTAAATGGTATTTGCTTTCAGTGCTACGGTGTGTAAACGAACAACTTTTCCTCAAAAGATGTTTTCTATTGACTCTGAAGTCTACGAATCAGCAGTGTTACATTAAAATCTTCTTTCTTTTGATTTCTGACATATTCATGTTTTAAAGCAATTATGTGGCATATTTTGAAAGAAAAAGAATTATAACGAAATCTATCGCAATCTCGATTAAAATATTTAATAGTAAAAAATAAATGCTCGACGCCATCGAGAGGAGAAACAGTACGTTTCTGTGCCTCAGTTTGTAACTGAATTATTTTGTCTCATGGCTTTGTCTTTTTAAAATCTTCAATGTTGCCATTCCACAGGGAAAACCTGAAAAATACAGGGAATTTAAAAATCACCTAAAGTAACAGTTAAAATACAGGGAATTTTGAGTTTTTCTTTACATGCAGGGAATTTTGTGTCATATTTTTGTCTTTTAAAAAGTGGTAACCACTCCAAGTGGATATTTTAGCTATACTAAACTATTTCATTTACTTCAGCGTTATTTGTTTTAAGTATATTGAGCTGTTCCTTATTTCTCTTAAGTTTTTCCAGCACTTTATTGAAACTAGTATAGCTAGCCCAATATAGCTCACACAAGAGCACAGTGATTGTGTATTTTCTCTTAATATATTGTTTATAATATATACTGGGAATTTTTTCACAGATTTGAGTCGCAACCCTGGTTTTATAGTGGAGTAAATGGGATTCTTGATTGAACGAAAAAATTCAACAGTTATAATCATACTAACTGGCATGATCACAGTTTTTTATACTTATTTGATGACTTTTGTCATTGCAGTTTTTAGATAAATATTTTTTCAGACTTCTTTGAAGATTTCTACCCTTTTAAAATTCAGTTTCATAATATATTTTCTCTGATACAACATTCGTGAAGTATATATTAATTAAAGAGTCAGACGATATTCACTAAAGACAATTAAATGCATAGTCACTCTTTGGAAACAGGAAGAAACTGGAATTCTCCAGGAATTTGAAAATACAACTAGAAAACTTAGAATTCTTCGGGAAAATCAATTTAATTGGCAATAAAACTATTTTAGATAACCAAGCTTATCTTAACTATTTATACTACGATCATTTATTTTTCCTGTCGTCAATACGATTTTAATCAATAATTGTGTTATTTTTAGTTCCTATTAAAAATGTTTGTTAAAACTTTTTTTTTAAAGAAACTAGATAAGTATTAACATTTTTATAATTATCTTGAACTCTTAATGAGTAATTTAATTAAGAGTTATTATTTTTATACATTTGATATTTAGTCTAAACATAAATAACTTGCTTATTTATTCAATTTTGTTCAGTATCATCATCATCATTAATTCTATATAAGGTGTGTGTGTGAATTCAAATGATTTTACACTTACTAAACTACTTTTCTACTCAAGCCTCATTAAAATGAAAGCATTTTTACATTTGAATTTGGAAATCTCGGGGGAATTTGGTTTTGTTTGGGGAGTGGCCACCCTGTAAACTGAAGTGGTAGAATATGATATAAAGTTTAATTTGCTTAAAAAAAAGAAAATATTACTGAAAGTCTACGTGTTTTGAGCCCTCAAAAATAGGCACACATTCTCAAGACTCGTCAGATGAGGAAAAAACATTCAATTATGCCAAGATTCTTTCCACCCCTGTCACATCAGCTCACAGAAACTTGCCTAACTCGTATAAAAATGCATATATCCTTGTTAATGACATGAGTTCCTCACCACCTCTTCATACAAGGTGGTAAATGCATTTATCCGGATTTGCCTCTCTCGACCACTGCAGTTTTTCTAGTTATTTTTTACCTTTATTTGCTATTTTTCATTGGCAAATATGATTTCTGTTTCAAATCACTTTTCCTTCATTCACATCTGGCAAGTATAGGCTCCTTCCTATTTCTTAGTGCTAGAAGCAATCTTTACAAATAAATAAAATTTCCAGTTGTGATCCTTAAAAATGACACGAGCGTGGCTTTTTCCAGGGCATTTAGTACAAGCTTGATTGAAGCCACCCATGCTTTTGTCATTTGTAGCCTTTAAATTAAATTAGTTTTCACTTTTCAAAATTATCTTGTCCAGCATAGAAACTTGAATGGTAACCAAACCTAATGCACAGCAAAACTGTCTTTAAATATTCCTCTATTCCAATCCTGAATTAGTGTCACCAAATTTTTTCACCATCTAGTTCCCACTCTGATTTTAATTCATTTCAAGCAGCGATATGTGTTGAATTTTATTAATCATCTATCTGGCAGCCATTAAATCATCCAAAGTATGAGCTCTAGTTATTTCACCATAGAAGGCACCGCTATGGGGATACAGCGTTCGCCCTCCAATGAAGTGAACCGGGTTCGAATCCACATCCGGTTTGCGCTAACCACAGTGCTGGCATGAAATATATCCTCAGTGGTAGACGGATCATAGGTTAGAGTCCCTTTACCGCCAGGCTAACCGTAGGAAGTTTTCGTGGTCTTCCTCTCCATGTAACGCAAATATGAGTTAGTTCCATCAAAAAGTCCTCTACGAAGGCAAATTTCTCCCAATACGTGATCCATTAGTTCCCTTGTCTTCTGGATTGTGTTCAAAATGACAAGGCTAAAGAGTTAAACATTAGTAGTCGTAGTCACGTTTGAAAAAATCTTCTTTTGATTAAGATTTTATATACAGATTTTTTACTTCACTATATGCAAGTGCTTATATTATTTCCAATAATCACCGTTATTTCATTTCCCTTGTTGGCAGGTAAGAAAAATTTAAAGTTTCAACTGTTTTTAGTTGGTAGAAGCCCAAAAAAAAAAATTTAAAATGAATTATTATTAAAAAAAAAATAATTGTGGTTAACTCACGAGGAACTTAACTTACGCGTGCGTAGCATAAAATTTCAATACTATTTTTTTCGCTAATAACCGATAACTAATTATTTTTTTAAAATTATAATATACGATGTTTATTTTTTAATCATCTAAAAATTCATTCGTAATTTAGTCAAGAAATTTTAATAAAGCATTTTATTGAACAAAAAACATTTTATGCCTCGAATATAGGAGTTTTATAAAAGCACGTTTCTGATAGAATGTGATTACGCAGCAGCTTTTTTTTTTTTAGTTTGTTTTTTCAATAATTGATATTATTTCAGTAAAAAACATACATATGCTCTCTTTAATATATATATATTTTATAATTATTAATACGAACTCATTATCAAGATTTTTAGCCCCTTCCTTCTCGCTCCCTTGATATTGACTAGCTGGTAGTAGTAACGCGCCAATAAGAATAAAACTAATTAATTTCTTTTGCCCGGAGATCATTTTACACAC